CCTGCACCCCAAAAGAGCCCGGCCTGGCTGGGCACACACCCTCCCACCCGCAGAGAAACAGGATCACCATGTTAACGTGTGGGGGGGCAAGACCACTGTGTGAGCCCAACCCTCAGAGCAGCCACCCGAGAGTCCGGCAGAGAGCAAAGCACCGCCACCAGCACAGAGCGCTTTATTTGTCACAGCCACGCCAGCTCACTGCCCTCCTCTCTGCCCCGGGGGCGAGCCCCAGGATCCCAGGACCTGCTTTTTTCTGGGAAGAGCCCCCCCGGTTCGGTTTTCGGCCCCCGGGGCCGGTTGTTGGGCCGGGCGGGGAGGGGGGGGGGGGGGGGTTCGGCCCCTTGGGCGGCCCAACCGGGACCTGAGAGGCAGAGAGAGCCAGGGGAGGGCGGGGTATCACAGAGCTGCGGTGCCCCCACACCCCTAAAGGGATCCCCCCACAGGACAGACACCCACGGACGGACGGGATCAAAAAGGAGGGCAGGTTCACAGCCATGGAGGGGGCGGAGCCAGAGAAGGCCACGCCCCCTACAGCGACCCCCGCGAATGAATGGGATTTGTTTGTGGGCGGGGCTTCGGCGAGACCACGCCCCAATCTATAAATAGGGCGGTTGGGGCGGGGTCTTTATGTGACCACGCCTCTATAGGCGGAGCTTTGGCGTGATCGGCTTTGGGTAACGGGAAGTTTTTGTAGGGACGGGACGATGTGTTGGTAAATAAACCCTTCCCGGCATCATTTTTGAGGAGTATAAAGTGGAACACAGTGTCATTCACTGGGTGAACATTATTATTATTATTATTATTATTATTATTATTATTATTATTATCATCATCATCATCATCATCATTATTGATATTATTACTATCATTATTATTAATATCATTAATAGTAATATTATTGATGTTGTTTAATATTATTGTTACTGTTAAAACAAGTTTTTAAAAATAATATTATTATTATTAAAACGTTTTATTATTAAAATAATATTATTAAAGTACTGTCGTTATTAAAATATCAGTGCTACTATTAAAATATTATTAAAATATTGTTATAGAATGTTAATAAAATAATAATATCAAAACACTTTCAATGAAATAATATTATTAAAATATTATTGTCAAATTATTATCGTATTACTATTATCATCATTATTATTATTACTATTATTATTATTTTCAAGGCATAGACCTGAGGGCTGTTTTCAGGCTGCTGGGGCACCACATCTCTGGGGCTCAGCACAGGACAGGCTGCAGGAGGGATCTTGGATCCTGCTCCAAGCTGCCACATCCCGGGGGGTTTGGGCCTTGGTGCAGGAGGATGGGGCTCACCAGGAGCAGCCACCAAGAGCAGGGATGATCCCCTGGCTCAGAGGACCTTTACTGGTTGGGACTCACAGCTCAGAGCCGGGTGTAAGAGCCAACCCTGGGGTTGGGGTCCCCAGTGCAGTCCCCTCCCCTGTTGTACCCTGTGAGGTACAACACCACAACTAAGTCGGGGATCCCCATGGCAGAGAGGGTCCCCATTGGAGCCAGCCCCCCAGCAGTCCCAGGAAGGCACCAGCACTCGGGATTCCTGCCTGTCTCCAGCTGCAGGGTGACCACAGGTGACCCACCACCAACTGGGGCCATGCCACTCCCACCAGGGTGTCCTCCAGATAACCTGCACCTCCAAATCCCTGCCAGGGACATCCAAAGCCCAATTCCCCCAGCCTGCACCCAAAGCCCGAGTGCTCCCTCATCAAGGCGAGGAGAGGGAAGAGTTCCCTGTTGGGGTGCTCGGGGGAGTCACCCCAAACCCCACAGTCACGCCCACGTCACCAGCAGCAATGACCTTTCAGTGGGACCGCACTGAGAAAACACCACCGTGAGCTCCCAACTGCCCTGACCCCCCCGGAGCAGCATCAGTCCTGGGAATAATTTCCTTTTTTAAAAGCTGTTGGTCAAACATCAATGCTTTTATTTTTTTTCCCCTGACCTTTTTGCCTTTTTTTGTTGTTGTTGTTGTTGTTGTTGTTGTCATTGGCTTTTTTTGGAAGGGGAAGGTCTGCAGAAGGTGGAAAGTAATCAGGTTTTGGACCTGGGATAAAAAATAGCTGGAGTAGGCTGGGCTGACTCCTTATAATTAATAGTGTGCCTCGTAATAGGATTCTACAGCCTTCGGTGCTCCCTGGGAACACCTTTTTACATAAGACATTGCTCACGATGGAGCAGCAGAGTTTTGATTTATGGGGGTTTGGCCTCCAAGAAGCACCTGGGGGAGGTGGCCTGGCTGGTGGGTGGTATGGGGGGGGCAAGGGGCCAAAGGCAAGGAGGGTGTTTCTGGCGACCTGGCAGCCAGGGCAGGGGAAAGGGCTTTGTGGGGGGATGTCAGTGATCTGGGGGACAGAGCTGGTCCTGGGGCTGGGCCCCCTCTGCTCCAAAAGGGAGAAGGAGGAGGGTGAGAAGGGTTTTGGGGCACCCTGCCCAACATCACTGGGTGATGCTCAGGGCACAGGCTCTGTGGAGGAACCAGCTGAAGCTGGGGAAGCCCACAGGGAGCAAGACCCCACATTGCACGGGAAGGGGAGGAAGGAAGGGGGAGAAATGTTGGGAGGACACAAAAAACCCCAGGAGGTGCCATAGCAAAGAGTTAAAAGCAAACACAGCAGTACAGAGCGGGAATGGGGGAGAGCAGGAAAGCGTGGGGGAAAGGGAGGGGATGGGAAAAAGAGTAGAAAAAACCAGAATCTTAGGGGGTCCAGGATGGAGTACACACATCCCTACATGTGTTGGAGCACCTTGGAACCTGAGGGTGTTAAACCTGGCCAGGGATCTCCGCCCATAAATCACCGTAACAAGCGCGGCCGCGCGCCTTGTTCTTGTCTGACCGCAGCCAGCACGGCAGGAACGGCAGAGGAGTGTAATAATTAATAATCATTAGAATAATAATGCATAAAGACAGTAGCAAAGCAATTAGTCAGAGAGGGAGCGCTTGCTAATCGAGGTGGGGAGTTCCAGCCCAAACAGCCCGGGGAGGAGCAGGGGAGGGACAGGAGGAGGGGGATGGAGGGTTGGGGGGGTGTAGGGGAGAATACCTGGCATGTCCCAGCGGAAGAGTGGGATGTGTGGACGCCAGTCCTGCTCTCAGCAGAGGAAGGACCCCGGCTCCAGCCCTGCCTGCAATGTGAGCCCCAGGCTCGTCTGCCCCTCGTGCCTCGGTTTCCCCATCCCTGCATGGACGCTGCGTGCTGGAGAAGGCTGTGGGAGGAGTCGAGCCCTGCGTCCACCAGGCTTTATTTTGGTTATTTCGGAGGGAAAGCAAGCACAGGGTGCCAGCCAGGCTCTGTCGCGTCCCCTGCCTCGGGGTGGGTGTCACTCCATCCCCAGCTGGCTCTTCAGGGCTCGCAGATGTGCCGTGTTGATGTTGCCGCCCCCGCAGACCACGACCACCACGGAGCCCAGCGGGGTCCGCAGCTTCCCCTCTCGCTGCAGCCGCTGCAGCCGCCCCGTGTAGAGCGTGGCCAGGGCGGCCCCGCACGCCGGCTGCACCAGCATCCTCTCGTCATCTGTGGGGACAAGACCACGGGGACATCCCGACACCTGCAGGGACCGCCTGCAGACACACGGTGCCCCCAGCACCCTGACTCCAGCAGCTCCCACGATCTGGTGATGTCCCCATCACCCCCGTGATGCCCAGCTGGCCCCACTCACCCAGGAACTGCTCCACAGCCCTCACAGCCTCTCTGTCCTCCACCACCTGGGAGATGATCTGGCACTCCTGGGCGCACTCCAGCGCCCGCGCTGCCACTGTCTTGGCTCCCAGGCACTTGGCCACACTGGGATATGAGGGGACAAGGTGGTCAGGGTGGTCTCAGGACCCCTCAGTGAGCTGGGCTGAGCCCTGCCTGCTCGTTGCACACGTGGCTGCTCACCTGGTGATCTCAGGCAGGGTGACCAGCCGGCCAGCTTGCAGTGCCTCGTGGAAGCTGTGGGCTCCGTGGGTCTCAGCAGCGATGATGGGGATGTCCTGCCAGCCCACCTGGTGCAGACCCTCCACAACACCAGCCAGCAGCCCCCCACCACCCACCGACAGCACGATGGCATCTGGTTTGGTCTCCAGAGAGTCCTTCAGCTCCCAGACCAGGCTGGTGTGACCCTGCCTGCAGGGCAAGGGGGGCAGGAGAATACAGCCTGGGGGCACCCCGAGCCAGCCCATATCCCAGGGATGGGAATTAGGGGTGGGAGCTGGGCCCTGGCAGCACTCACCACACCAAGGGGTCATCAAAGGGGTGGATGCTGACCCAGCCCTCCATCTTCAACAGCTCCTGGGCTCTCTTGTTTGCATCATCAAACGCCTGGGGTGGAGGGCAGTGGGGGCTCAGGAGGGCTCCACACAGCCCTGTAGTGGGTTTCTGTGGCTGGGTTTTGGTAGTGGGGATGGGAGGGGGGCTACAGGTGTGGCTTCTGTTGGAAGCTGCCAGAAGCTTCCCCTGTCTGGTGGAGCCAA